TATTTAGCTATTCTAACATCAGATCACAGGCACTAGGCACATAGTGTCAGGTGTTATAGAGACACATAATAGTGCTTTTCAAACTACATTCCATGGAGTTCTATGATTCCTCAGTGATCACTCCGGGGCCAACATGAAACGGAGGAGACAGATGTAGGGAATAAGACTTCAAGCATCTACTGGAGAAGTTCATCTTTTATGTTCGTAACTATAAATATGCCCCATTAGAAAACAGATTTACCTTTTTTTCTGCCTTGGTGAGAGCTGTGTCAAAAGTCACCTTGGGAGACCCATGTTCAAAATGGTGGAGTAGGCAACCCCAAGCCTCCATCCCTCCACAGAAACATTGAAAAATAAGTAGAAACTATCTGAAACAGGTTTGTCTGAACTCTGGGAAACAGTCAGAGGTTCACAGCAACCAAGCAAATGCTAAATCAAAATATATGAAGACATGGACAGAATTAAAGGGAGAAATAGAGAGTTCTACAATAATATTTGGAGACTTAATACCCCACTTTCAATGATGGGTAAAACATCTAGACAGAAGATCAATAAGAAAGTAGAAGACTTGAACAACACTATAAACCAAGTAGACCTAACAGACATATCTAGAATACTCTACCCAGTAACTGCAGAATATGCACATCAATTGGTAACCCAGGCAGACTAAAATAGATCATGTATTGACTTTAGAAACTGAGAAGAATCAGGTTCATAAAGTTTTCAACATTGCCAATTCACAAAGTAATCCTACACAAATTCCAGCTCAAAATGAATGAAGAGGCTGTTGCTTGTTTAGTAATGCTCTGCTCTTCCTAAGCTAGCAACTTCTAGCCCTCATAGAATGTGCTAGTTAGGCTCTTTATATTGCAAATCCCAGACACTCACTAAATATAACTCTAGGACTGTTTTAAGACTGTCATGGGTCCAAGGATCCAAACCCAGGGCTCTTACTCTACCCGATGTCATATAAAACATACTTAGAATGGCTCATTCCCTCGCTTCTTTCAGGTTATTGCTCAAATGTCACCTACTCAGGTTACTTCCCTGACTATCCTATTTTAAATTGTACCCATGATCTGACCCCTGGCACTCGTCATCCCTCTTCCTGGCTTTGTTTTCTCCATAGCGTCCATGCCACCCAATGTACCATATATATTGTACTTCCTTCTCTTGTAAATTGTCTGTATCCCCTCCATGAGGACAGGGATGTTTTTTGTCTTGCTCACTGTTGTATCTCTAACACCTAGATCAGCACCCACATGTAATAAATGCTCAATAAATATTTGCTGAATATGTGAAAGAAAATTTACCTACATACTCACATTAAATAAAATTGAATCTGAACTCTGGAACATCTAGACTCTAGAAACAGACTGCTAGGGTTCAAATCCTGGTTCAGCAGTTTGCTGGCTGTTGACCTCAGCCAAGTTACGTAACTCTTTTTGTCAGTTTCCTCATCTGTAAAATGAGGATAGTCGTATTAGTTCTTGTTGTATTGAGTTTTTGTGAAGATTAATATGAGTTGATTTTTATAAAGCACTTTGCACAATGTCTGGCGTATTGTAAACACCGTGAAGGGGTTAACTTGTAGTGGTAGTAAGAGTTGATTGAACTGAATCTGAATTAGTGCTATGTTTTCTGGATAAAACATTTATTTATTTAGATTTTACAATTTTCTCTTTGTATTTTGGAGCCATTTTGTGTTTTGAAGATTTTGTATGCCCTGGAAACTAGCCTTTTCGTAGATGGTTACAGATGAAAAGAATCTTAGGTCTCTTAGAATTAGGAAAGGCCATCTAATCAGGCATCTTAGGAAAAATAAGCCAATGGAACACATAATTCAAGATACTATATGCTTCTGTGAGAGCCTACACTACTTCTTTGTGAAGCTTATCTCAGTTGTTTTTACTTGTTCAATGTCAGTCTTCTACCTCTAGCTTCTAAGCTTCTAAGCTGGATTCAAAGCTCCATGGGAGCAAAATTTGTCTTATTCACCAGTAAAACTCATGTCATATTTGTCACATGGTAGATGCTTAATTCAATTTGGTTAAAGAAATATGTACTCTTGGCCACTCAGGATCCTAGGAAGCTGTAGTGAACAAATTATATTTTTATCCATCAGAAGCAAGAATCCATTATTTCCACCTCTAAGAACCTGTCCTCTCACATTCTTTTCTTCTATCTGATTTTTGTTTACTAGAATTCACCATGATCCCTTTTGCCTCATGGCCTCAACTGTTGTCTGCCTTTCCTCTGTGTCTTTCAACTTTTGCCCATCATTACTAGCTGATGACTTTTTCTGTGTACTGAAGTCAAATTCCCAAGAGAGAGACCCTAACTGGTTTAATTAATTAGAATTATTGATCTTGTGTAAAGTTCTCATATTATAGGCTGCTCTCAAGTATATAGGTTGACTGCCCTTGCATCAGGTGGCCTAATCAGATATGGCCAAGGTGGGAATGATCTGGTTCAGAATAAGATTATCTGTGCATAAGGAACAGCTAGGGCTGATTCCTTCAGTAGAGCTTCTGTGTAAAAGTTTTCAGGATACAGGATGGGGAAGGCTGGCTTGTGAGGCTGAGGCTGTCCAGCATATGCCCCATTTATTCATTCAACTACAATTATTAATGTTGACTATGTGTTAGAGGGTTATAGTGTGGAGAGGGGATATAGATATAAGACTCTGTCCTTGCCCTCGTGGAGCTCAGAGGAGACAGGCAAGCAACTTGAATACCCAACAATGGTATATGATACAGGCGAGCACATTGTGCTGTGGGAACACAGGGTGAACACTCAGTGGGGACCAAGAGTGTGAGATAAGCTCCGTCCTCACTCAGGTCTGTCTGTTCTAAGGATATGTTGAAGAGAAGAAAGTCTGTGTCACATACCCTTGTTATCTTGATATCTTGTTTTAAAAAATTGTCTACAGCAAAACCAAGAAATGGCATTAGGCGCATACTGCTTTACCTAAAGGTCTTGTTTGTTTTTGAGTGGAGGAGGAGTGCTGCTCTTCTGCTCTCAGGTGTTTTCTCCAGCTTACGTAATGATTGTACAGAATTGTGTGAAAAGAACCACCTGTAATCTAAGAGATGTGGCCTTGAAACTGGGCTGAGATCCTGGGAGACCTTCCTCGCCCTCCTTCAGATTTCTACCACTCTTCTCCCTTCACAGCAGTCCAAACCACTAATTGCTGGACAAGTATTCAAGGTCACTCTTTTCTTCCTGGTAATCTAGATATCACAGAAGGGAGGACTTCTGGTACCCTTCATTCTGATGGAGCTCTCAGAGAGAGTGGAGCCCCTGGGGCACTGTTCTTTATTTGTGCCCCTAACTTTCTTCATCTTCTGCCACCCTTGCTTACTCTTCTTTTCCAGTCAATTCTGCGGTAATGTCTGTTCCAGCCAACAGCCTGAAGGTGGGTCATTGGTCCTGTAGGTCAGAGCTATACACCACCTTGCATATTAGCACACACTGCAAGTGTAACCCTACTGCTAGATGACCATCCCGTTTTGAAGATGATGCTATTCTAGGTATTCCGACTCAGACCCAAGATGAACCTGAGAATCTGAATCCATTTGATGAAGTTCTTAGTGACCTAAATATCTCTGCCAGTGGTGTTCATCGTTGAATACTTGTTGCCTGGCACATAGTACTTTTTAAAAGTTATCTTTTGTTGAGTAAATGAAAGCAGCTTTAGGGGATTGTTCAGGAGGACAGAAAAGGAGTCTTTGTATTACTTTAGTTTGGAAGTTGGCACTGAGGAAGAAGTTAATAATTATCATTTCAAACTGCAGAATATGGTATGTTGGCCCTTTCTGGCACACCGTGTAAGACGCTGAAACGCAGAGACCCTGCATTGGAAGTCTTTGAAAGAGTTCGTGTCATTGACCAGTAGATGGCAGTCTTATGCTAGGGTTCAGAGAAAGCAAGTAGCAGAACGTAAAGAAGCATTTCATAATTGGTTGAAGTGTCCATCCACCACCTTCCTCCCCTCTCAATCCACATAAAACCCCCTCCCACTTTCATTCTACCCCAGACAACTGTCTTACCCACCCAGTCACCTCTCTTCAGGTGCCCAGGCATGTCTTGCTGCCAGTCTCCAGTTGCTCACTGGAAAATATTTTATATTTACTCATAGTCAGCTTATAGGAACGGGACCAGCTACATAATTTGCAGGACCTAGTGTGAAATGAAAATGCAGGGATCCTTGTTCCAAAATTTATCGAGAATTTTAAGACAGTAACAGCAAAGCATTAAACCAAGCACAAGGCCCTTGAAGCCAGCAGTGCTTAAGAGCTTAAAAGATATCTCCCTCTCCCCACCCACCCTCTGTCATTGCAACACCTTCCTGTGACACACACCAAAGGGACTACTTAAAGGAAGAATCACTGGATGTTATTCAGACATCATAGAATCTTAGCACTGGAAAGAAATTTAGAGATCCTCTTGTCCAGTAGCCTTATTTTAAAGATAATTGAACTAAATTCCAACGAGATGAAGTGAGTCACCCAAAGTCCCCAGCTAGTTATGTCACAGACTGGACTGGAACTAAGAGTTTGCATTTATCAGGCCAAGGCTTGCTCTACCACACAGGCTCAGTGGAGGGTATTTTGAGAAAAGAGTTTTCCCATTTACTCAAGACATACTTTTCTCTGTCTTCTCAACAAGAGAAGGGTGCAGGTTTGTATTACTTACATTTATTGAGTACCAGCTATATGCCAGGCACCATGCTAGTTGTTTTATATGTAATACCTCAATTAACAACAATCTCAGAAAATCATTACTATTTTTCCTATTTTTCAAGTGAGAAAAATTGAGGCTCAGAACTTGAATTTCAATAAGTAAAAAGACAAGAGTTTAAGCAAGTCTCTGTGATTCCAAAACTCATTCTCTTTTTACCACATCATTTCTGAGTTCTAGGAAGGCTGAGTTAGCCTGTATTTCCTGAACATTGGTCTTATTTTTAGTCAGCTCTGGACAACCTTGGGGACTCTTACCAGGCTATCCATGTTCTTCAAATTCACCAGGATTGCTGCTGCCTTAGGGCCTTTGTTCCAGAGTGTTTTCTCCACTTGATAGTCCTCCAGATAATCCTTGAAAATAGAATGCATGTCAGCTGGGTAATAGTGGATCTGATCACATAGGGTCTTTTAGGCCATTTAAGGGCATTGGCTTTTTCTCTGAATGAAATGGGAGACGTTGCACTGCTTTGTTCAGAGGAGTGACATGATCTGGTTTAGATTTTTAAAGGATCCTTCTGGCTGCTGTAGTGAAAAAGAGACTAAGGGGGGAGGGTAGGGAACGTAGAGGTGGGAGGCTTTTTAGGGGGTTATTACAGTAATCCAGGGGGAAGACAATGGTGACTCAGACCAAAGTGATAGCAATGGAAGTGATGGGAGGTGGTTGGCTTCTGGAGTTATATATGTATTTAAGTATTATGTTTTTAACTTTTTGTTATGGAAAATTTCAAATACATTCAAAAGTAGGAAGAAAAGTAAAATGAATTTCCATCATTCACTTCATCAGTGAACCTATCATGTGTCATCATGCGTCAGGCGCTTTTCAACAGCTGCAACAGTTGTCAACTTGTGACCAATCTTGTTTCACCGATACCCTTCCCCACTGTCTCCCCAATTCCAGACTGAGGAGAAAGCAATTTGAAGCAGATCCCAGATACCACATTTCATGTGTAAGTGTTTCTGCTTTTACTACTCCAGCTGCTTCTAACTGTCCCTCTATTCTGCTCTCTACCCTATGGCTTCTGCTTGCTTGTAGTTTCCCATACTCATGACTTTAATAACTCACGGCCTGCCCTCTTTGTCCTCTTTAAACCTTTTTCCTTTCTACCAACTACTAACTGTGTATTTCTCAGATTCAAACTCCCTAAAGAGAGATTTTTCTAAGTTCAGTTAGTTGTATGGTTCTTTCTGCACAGAGTTCATAAGCTCCCCAAATTGTGGTTGGTTGGCTGCTCCTGGGTCACGCTCTCTTGGTCAATCAGGTTGGGGTGATATCAAGGTCAATTTCCCAAAGAGGGGTTATAGCAATGGCAGTCACTTAGCAAATGATGGGGTGCTCTCCAATACTAATAAATAGTGGACATTGAATACTGGAAAGGATATAAATTGTGAAAAAAGTGAGCCTGTAGTGAGGCTAGAAATAGAAAAGTGCCTAACCACTAATTGCCACCATTTTACAGTCTGACCTAACTCATTTGGAGTACTGTTCTTGGGTGCCTCTAAGGAATTAAGGGACATTTTTTTCTTAAGATATTTTTGTTTATAACAGGCTGAGTAATAGCATAGATCATAACGTACTGGACTGAAAGTCAAGACCGACATTTGTTCCTGTTCATCGTAGACTCTGCACAAGGTTAGATAAGCTAATAAACTTCTTTGTGCCTTTGTTTCTCCACTTTCAAATGATACCTGCCCTTTTCCTCTTTCACATAAGTAGACAAGAATAGAGAAATAAAAGTACTTTGAACTTTTATTTTAAAAAGCATGTGAGGGCCGGCCCTGTGGCTTAGCAGTTAAGTGTGCGCGCTCTGCTGCTGGCGGCCCGGGTTCGGATCCTGGGCGCGCACTGACGCACAGCTTATCCGGCAATGCCGAGGCCACGTCCCACGTACAGCAACTAGGGGGATGTGCAGCTATGACATACAACTATCTACTGGGGCTTTGGGGGAAAAAATAAATAAATAAATAAAATTATAAAAAAAAAAAAGGAGGAGGATTGGCAATAGATGTTAGCTCAGGGCTGATTTTCCTCAATAAATAAATAAATAAAATTAAAAAAAAAAAAAAAACGTGAAAATCTAAATAATTACTATTTTCTATGTGAAGTTTTTACTGAAGTCATAAAAGGAACATTGGATTTAAGTTCTTGTTTTTTGCAGAAGATTGCATGTTATAAACCTCTGGGCTTAGAGAATGGCTCCTGTTCTGGCAGTGAGGATCCAGAATGTGTGATAGTTCAGTGTAGGGAAAACCATATTCTCACTTCTTGCATTAGGAAGAATACACTGTCTCACTAGTGGAAGAAGAGATCATTTGAGTGCTGTCCTCTGAAGCACAAAAAAGATCCAGATATGTGTTCTCTAATCTATTCATTTTCATCATGTACTCAAACATTTTTCTTCCGATGTTGTAATGTGTCTGCCATGTGTATATACCACTGAGAACAGTGACTGGTGCGTGGTAAGAACTATATAAACGTTAGCTGTCACCTTCATAGGTATGAAAAAGAGTTAACAAATTAGATCAAAATGAAAGTCTGTAGAGTTAAATGCTGAAAAAATTGACCACCTTCTCTATCCCCTAATACATGCCCACTAAAATGCAGTTGCTGTAGAAATACATAAAATAGTACATCATGTGAGAATATGAGTAAAAGGAAACTTTTTGGGCCCTGGCAAATTGGCAGTGTATGTGTTTATGAGAAAAAAGAGGTGGCAATTGAACATGACAATTTTGGTATCTGATAGCCCAGTTGTTCTCAAAGACTGGTTAGTCACCCTGCTGCATCTGAATGAATCACTTGGGAATTTTTTCTAAAATCCCTGGTTCGTTCTTCAAAGATTCTGATCTAGGGGCCGCCCCGTGGCTTAGCGGTTAAGTGCGCGCACTCCGCTGCTGGCGGCCTGGGTTCGGATCCCGGGCGCACACCGATGCACCACCTCTCCAGCCATACTGAGGCAGCGTTGCACATACAGCAACTAGAAGGATGTGCAACTATGACGTACAACTATCTACTGGGGCTTTGGGGAAAAAAGAGGAGGAGGATTGGCAATAGATGTTAGCTCAGAGCCGGTCTTCCTCAGCAAAAAGAGGAGGATTAGCATGGATGTTAGCTCAGGGCTGATCTTCCTCACAAAAAAAAAAAAAAGATTCTGATCTAGTAGGTTAACAGTGGAGATTACATATGCAAAAAATTTTTAAGTTTCTCAGGTCCTGATTCACAGCCAGGTCTGGGAATCACTGACCATGTAGAAAAATATAATATAATTCTTTAACTTAGTGCATCATTTGTTTCCTGTCATTTTATTCAAAGTAGTATGTATGGGGAAATATATATATCCACACCCAGAGAAGAGGACTGGGGGGATATCTATTAAAGTCAGAATGGTGATGCTCTCTGGATTTTGGGTTTATGGAAATGTTTATTTTGCCTTTGCTTTTCTTATCTCTAAGTTTTCTGGTTGAGCATATATTATTTTTATAATAATAGATATTAGAAGGAAAATATTTCCAACCAGTACAAAATTTTAAAGACCCCCATGCAGTCCATGTTTTTAGTTTACCAAATATGGGGGAAAAACCCAGTCCATTAATGTGTGTGTCATATAGCTTTTTTAAAAAAATAAAAAAAAGAAGAGGCTACGTATAAAACAATGTGGGAACAATGTTTATTCATCTATTTTTAAAAATGTCACAAATTCTCTTAGAACACCAATAAATGTACATCTTACAGAATGTAAAACAAGTTAAATCCTAATTAGCTTTGACTGCTTTTGCTTTGGCGAGACTGGAAATATAAGCCATTGGCCAATGTTCATAAAAGGACCAAGCAGTCAGTAACTTTATACTTGATGAGGAGAGAAAAACAGTTCTAGTACAATATAGATTTTCCATCTGCTTTGTGTTCTGGGCTGTGCTCCAAGAACAATGCTCACTCCTTTTTAAAGATCCTCTTGGCTTCTACTCCTTCATATGCGTAAGTCTGAAAGGTGTTAACAAATGTAGAAGAATTTGCCATTAAGATTTAAGGCTAATTAAGAAAAATATTAGTATTATTATAGCTTTGAAATGAATTTATGGTATTTTTTTCTTGTACTTGACAGAGACAGTTTATACAGACACAGGATACACCCATTTAAAAAAGACATTTGGTTTGTAGTCACTTACATGTTCAGTAAAAATAGGCATCGGTGTATTTGACATATGTATATTTCCTTCAATAAATAGGCATCAGAAAATATCTATATTTTTAAAATAGTAAGATTTACGAGAAAAGTAACAGTCTATTTATTGAAGATGTAACTCAGCAACCGCAAAAATAAAAGTATGGTTATGTAATTGTTTTTGTCTTTGGGAAATAGCTATAATCTTTTTATAACTCACCAGGACCATTTCACCATCTGTAATTTCTTGGACAGCAGTCAGTTTGTTTCCATTGTCTACCTGTTTGAATTTTCCAACAAGTTTATTTCCTTTTGGGCTCCAAGACCCCTATATAAAAATAAAAATATAATAATAAAATAGCATTATTTTTAGCATTTTATATGTGTTGGGCACTGATCTGAGTTCTATAGATCTACTTCTTCAATCTTCACAGTGACCCTATGAAGTAGATATTATTATCTCCATTTTACAGATGAGAAAACTGAGACACTGTAATTTACCTAATGTCATGGAGCCAGGATCAAACCCAGGCTTTTGGGCTCTAGAGTATGTGCTGGTAACCATTATGCTCATCTCATTCAATAATTTCTAAATGCTGAATTTTAATTCAAGGCAGATGATCAAGGGCCGGCCCCGTGGCATAGTGGTTAAGTGCGTGCACTCTGCTGCTGGCGGCCCGGGTTCGGATCTCGGGCACGCACCGATGCACCGCTTGTCAGGCCATGCTATGGTGGTGTCCCACATAAAGTGGAGGAAGATGGGTATGGATGTTAGCTCAGGGCCAGTCTTCCTCAGCAAAAAGAGGAGGATTGGCATGGATGTTAGCTCAGGGCTGGTCTTCCTTGCCAAAAAGAAAAAGAAAAAGGCAGATGATCAGGGCTTCTCTTTTCTAAATCTTTCATGTTTAAAAAAGTATCCTAAATTTAGTCATGGTTCAAATTACTTTCATGGAGAGGCTAATAACCCTATGCTTATTTTAATTTATATAATTGTAGAAATTAAAAAATGGCCACAATTGATAAAATATTTGACAGTTTAATTGTCATTGCAAACATCTATAATTTAACTAGAAAAATTATGAGGACAAAAAAGTTTTTAAAAAATTAGTTGAAAAATGTGACTCTCTAGAATTTTATTTTATGTATTTTTTTAAATATACCCTTTATTGCTTTTTCTTGTATAATTACATTGGTTGTTACCTTTTTTGTGTGTGTGTGTGAGGAGATCAGCCCTGTGCTAACATCTGCCAATCCTCCTCTTTTTTTGCTGAGGAAGACTGGCCCTGGGCTGACATCCGGGCCCATCTTCCTCCACTTTATATGGGACGCCAGCACAGCATGGCTTGCCAAGCAGTGCGTCGGTGCACGCCTGGGATCCGGACCGGTGAATCCTGGGCCGCTGCAGCAAAGCACTTGCACTTAACCACTTGCGCCACCAGGCCGGCCCCTCTCTAGAATTTTATATCTTAAACCATGTAACATTAGACCTTTCCATTTGGTCACTCACTCATTCACTAATTTATTCATTTATTTTATTATTTCAGTACATTTATTAAATGCCCATTTTGTTTAAGTTAGATAACTCTAAAATCTTCTGTTGCTGTCAGGTGTGTAAAGTTGAAAACACTGAGCTTTAGTTTTCTTTATGACTAGATCTATACTCAGTCATTCAAAGGGTATTTTTCTTATTTATTTATTTATTTATTTATTTATTTAGAGGAAGATCAGCCCTGAGCTAACATCCATGCCAATCCTCCTCTTTTTGCTGAGGAAGACTGGCCCTGGGCTAACATCCGTGCTCATCTTCCTCCACTTTATGTGGGACACCGCCGCCACATGGCCTGACAAAGCGGTGCCTGGGTGCGTGCCCGGGATCCAAACCCGGGCCCCCAGCAGCGGAGTGCACCCACTTAACCGCTACGCCACAGGGCTAGCCCCCTCAAAGGGTATTTTTCTAATTCTTACTGTTCAATCCAGGTTCTTTACAGATGTATATGAAAATAAAAACATTATATTTAAGTAATCTCCCAATATGTACAATGTATAACATGGATAAACTCCATTGGCTGCTCAGTAAATGAAGGAGACTACATTAAGTAAACCATCCAATGACAGAGAGCAGAGATTATTTTAGAATTGTGTAGAAAAATCAAGAATGCATTGCTTATAAAATTTTTCTTACGCTGAGTTCAGTTCCGTCCGCTAGCCTGTAATTAAAAGTGACACCAAGCTCAAAAACAGTTTCAGTGGTTCGAAAAGTGCTTGATTCTTTGACCGTGAATTTATTTCCTTCTTGTGTAATTGTCAGCTCCAAATTGTCACGAGCTGCAAGCCTCCTTTTCATTATATTAATACCTGCAAAGAGAAAGAAGTTGAAGAAAATAAAGTCAAAATGCCATAGAAAGTGTTTATTTTTCCAAGTTCTGTTTTATTTATTTGTTTGTTTATTTGTTCGTTTATTTATATTTTGAGGGCAGGGAGGAAAACCTAACAGCGTTGCCTTGGCACAGGAGCATTCAGATTGCTTCTGTAGAAAAAGTTCAAGCTCAATCAGATCAAGAGTACTGATTCAAGCTATTTTTCCAAAACTTAAGAAAAATTAAATGAAGCATAGAATTGTAAATTTGTAATTTATACCAAAAAATTTGTAATTTATACAAAAATTGTAATTTATAAAAATTATCAAACTTCTCATTTCAGCGTTAAGTAAATCAAATTCCAGAAATGTTAAATGAAGGATTAAAAAGTATATTCATATATTTATAGGGGTATACAACTTTAATTCCATGTATACAGTGTTCTTTTTTTAGTACTCCTTTGCTTTCCATAATACCTTTTAAATTTTGAACTTCATAATTCTCTGTACTTTTTGTGGCATTTTTTACTGTCACAAAAATGAGAAAATGAGCAAATATTATAGTTAAATCTGTTATTGTAAGAATGTACAAATTTCATAAATTTAAACTTGGAATCCCTGAACTATAGGATATAATTGATGCAGATTTTTATTTTTGGGGAATGACACAAGTTTGTTTGCCTGTCTTGTGCAGCGTATGGGCTGCCAGAATATTAAAGATATTAAAATCAGTATAGATATTAAAATCAGTTAAAATTGCCATAGAAACTACATAGTGTCGTGAGATTATTCCCCAAATTTTAGAAGTCAGAGGAAAAGAGAATTGTCTCATTTATTCAGAGCTGTGAATTTTGATAGAACTCTTTTCCATTGCTTTATTATATGGTCTTTGCTTTTCCATCCTGTAGAATTCAATGTTTTAAAGTCTGGGGAAGTTGTTATTACGCACTGCCATTTTTTACTTTCTAAACAAAAAAAAGTGGTCAGTTTTCAATGATATAGGCTCAATGTGCAGTTAATGTGAATGAAGCATATCTGGATGTTTTTTTTTGTTTCAGAGGACAGCACCCAAGAAACTTTTCTTCCTAAAGTAAGAAGTAAGGGTATAGTTTTCCCTTTTCTGAACCATCACACATTCTGGATCCTCACTGCCATAATAGGAGCCATTCTCTAAGCCCAGAGGTTTAGAAGGAGGTAGAAAGAAAAATGTCTGTGAGAAACATGAGAATGAGCCACTAAAGAATTAAGCTCTTACCCATTTTTTCCATGAACTTGTCATAGTTCTCACTCCGGTCTACCTTCCAAGTACCATCAAACGCCATGATCTCCAGTTGAGTCAGCCCCTGGGCAATCAGAGTCAGGTCTCTCCTTAGGAGAGAACTTACTCTATTTCTTTTCTTAGAACTAACTTTGTACTGTGATGAGGAATTTTAAAGTTCAAGAGGTCACCTAACTACACAAATTCCAAGCTCTTCTAGTTCTTTTTTTATAAATTCCTTAGCTTCTTTTCTGAAATTCAGCTGAATTCAAACATGATAAGCATACCTACTCTGTCTTAAACTGCAATTTGTGGGCACATTTATTTCAAGAATTAGAATGCATACTGTCTGAAGATAGTTTTTATGCTTATAAGTTCCAAGTGCACACTATGCAGGAGGTAACATAATTTAGAGCATATATCAAATAGCATGTGAGAAATGAGACTATTAATGACCTAGCCCTTTTTCACAATAGCAATTATGTTGTAAAGTAAGACTTCATGACCAAATACAGCTGAAAAGTTAAAGAAGTTAACATAATATTGATACTGAAAATTTATTTTATTTTTCTAGTATGTCCTTTTGCATTGTGTTTTTGGGATGCCAGAGGTTTGGATAAATATCCTGGCATCTGGTACAGTGCATGAGACACAGTAGGTACTCATTAAGTTTTTGTTTTTGTCTTGAATGGTGATAGGCCACTGAGAAAAATTTTGAGAGGTAGAAATGTGGCTGGATAACATGAAAACTCCCATAAAAGAATCATCTTTCTTTTTTTTAAATTGAGGTATAATTGATGTATAATGTTATATTAGTTTCAGGTGTACAACGTAATGATTTGATATTTGTATACACTGTGAAATGATTACTACAGTACGTCTAGTTACCATGCATCACCATACACAGTTACAAAATTCTTTTTCTTACAATGAGAATTTTTAAGATTTACTCTCTTAGCAACTTTCAAACACTGTATGCAATTTAAATATCTGCCGTGTGCAGAGGAAAGCCAGATGTCAGCTGTACCATTAATTAAAACCAGTCCTTTGTTTTACTGTCACTCCCTCTCGTCCCCAAACCTGGTGTAGTCAGAAGCCAAAACTCATTATGTGTGTGGGGTGGGGGCATGGAGGGCAGCTAGAAAGGTTAAAAGGGACGGAGGTCAGCATATCTCTCCCTCCCCCACAGGCTTCTCGCCTGGAGCAGGTCTGAGCTGGTGGAGGAGAAGCACTAATTTAATATGAAGTGTGGAGTTTTGATTATTAAGTAGCTTGAACATATTACTAAAAAGAGACTATTATTGTGAGTGAATGTGACCAGAGAACCTCTTATTAACTAAAGGTCAGTAGAGAAGCTATAGGGCATGCCCAAGATTTCATTCAGGGTTAGGGAAGGATATATCTAACAAATGTGAACAGGACATTGGGGAATAGAATCAAATTTTTAAATTTTGATTGTATCCATTGGGCACACTCTTTCAATGGAGTTGCCCACTTTTCATTTCATCACGTAAGCACATTAAAAAGCAAACTACCTTCTACCATCTCCATTATTTCATTAAAAAAGAAAAAGACATCACAACACACACGGGGGGTGGGGAGGTAGAGAGAGCGTAATTTTAGAATGACAGGAAGTCCTTTACATTTATAACTCTAGCTTTATGAGAAAATTGACTACCTTGTCTTTTTTTTTTTTCTCTCTTTTGCCAAAGATAATGAAAACCTCATCATTTAGGAACCATCACCCTAGTATACTTTCAACTTGGAGAAGAGTAGAAAAGTTTATGGTTACTCTAAAGCCAAGGACTAAATAGTCTCTCAGATAATCTCACTACTTATGGCGATTTGTGAATTTAGAAGGCCATGGATGATGGATCCAATCTTTCTTTTCAGATTAGAAAATTAGATGTGTCTGGTTACTGGAATAGAAATGTGGTGCAGTAAAAAGAACCTGTGTTTTAGAAACAAAAAGTCTTGCATTTCAATACTGACTACAACGCCCATTACCATACAGGACCTTGGTCAGATTACTCAGTCTCTGAGTGTCAGTTTCCTCATCTGTAAAATGAAGATAAATACCTAATACATACAGTTTTATGAATAAATTGTATAAAGCACACCCTGAACAAGTGGTAGACATCAAGTACTCAATAAACCTTGGTTTCTCTCCACATTCCCTGAGAAAGAAAATCCAACAGCAATAATAAACCCTTAGAAGTATCCCAGGTCTCAAAGTATTTTGATATTTTGTAAAGAAAATCCATGTCATTCTGCTGTTTATTAGAAAGTCACCTAAAAGTTATTTAGGTATTTTGTGACTTGTTCTAGTGATTAACTTGGAACTGGGTATGACTTGGATTTGCCTGTGAAGGGTAGCATGATGCTATAGCTCTCTCTGGGAATACATCTTCCTACTCTATGATCTCATAGCAATTGAAATGAAAATTCCTGACTCAGTTAGGAAGGTGGGGAAGAAGAAACTAGAATGACTTCTTACCATTGTTCACCTCACAGTGCCTTCCAAACACGATCTCACCCTTTATCTCATGGCCACCTTGAGCTTCCCAGGGGGAGCAGAATAGGATCAGGTGAAAGCAAATATCACTTGGACTCGTGCAAACCTGCAAACAGAATGGGCATGCTAAACTTTCAGCTTTCCATTTATCAGAGGCAGTAAACTAATTTAAAATCAGTTAGGAATCTGTGTTATCTCTGTAGACTAGTATCATTGGATATTTTTTTAATGACCAGATCAAATTTTTAACTACACTTTTCCTTCTTCAGCTCCCAACTCTGTAGCTCCCCAATTCTTATCACTTACCTAGACTCTATCTAGAAAAGGTTGTACAGAACCTATGGACCAGTTTCCCTATAGACCTCGCTTACTGAAGAAGCAACTGGGCCAACCAGCTGAGGCAGACCCAGTCCTTTATTTTCTTCTCTGATGATACTAGAAGACTTAGGGTCCTGCAGTTTGGGAAAGTGGGTGGATTGGGTGTGTGTGTGCATGTGGGTGCAGACGCTATGGACGTACAGCTGTACCCTCTATCTGGACTCCGCAGTACACATCCCCCACTGAATGGTGTGAAAGAAGTGGAAATCAGCAGAAGCTCCTGCTGAGCCCCGTCCCATTCCTCCAAGAGAAAGTACAAACCATGTTCCTTAACATGTCTTATGACGCTCCTACTCACATCTCCAGTCTCTTGCCATTCCTTGCTGTGTACTCTAAGATCTAAACGTATTAAACTCCCTGTAGTCCCAGTCTCCTGAATGTGCATGCTTTCTGTTGCTTCAGGTCCCAGCTCGGTCATTTACTGCTCTAAGAAGCCTGCCCTGAACTACCAAGAGTAGGTCAGGTAAGCCTACTTCTCCCTAGTGTAATGAGCTTGTAAAGCTCTCAGCATAGCTCATAAAAGACAAGAACAGCTGATTCATGATAACCAGGGAAATATTAGTCTCATCATGAAGTCCAGAGATATCATGAGGAAGGGCAATACAATGTTGCAAGCTCGTCTCAAGGGAATAGCTTTCTAGAGATCACAGAAATCCTTTCACCCTGCTGTGTAGCAGTTGAGAAAGTTTTTCTGGAGTATTTTTTAAAAATATAACTTAAGGACATAATTATTATGCTTTTATATGATTCTTCCAGTTTTAAGTATATGTGTATGTTTGTACACACTTACCATATGTATAGGTATATTTTCATATATTCCTATGTACATATATGTGTATATATGTATGCATATACATATATGTATATGTTTGTGTATGTGTAGATACCCACAACCTATCTTCATGTGATCAGATTTGTATTTTAGAAGGCTTCATTTGGCACCAAATATAGGAGGGATTTGAGGAACCCATCTGGAAGAGAAGGCTAATTAAGTATTACCCTAACCTTGCTGAGAAATGAGGACTGCAAATAAATGGTGAAAGTGAGATTGGAGAAAAGAGAACCACAGAAATGTGGGAACATCCTAGGTGTCTGTCAGAGACTAGATTAGCAAACAAGACAGTAGACGGCAGCTGTGCCAGATGTGTATGGTACCTCCCAAGGGCATCAGGGCACAGTATTCTCTTTTCAGCTAGCTTATCTATATGGGAGACCAACCTTTGAAATACAGATCAAGTCCCTAAACAACATCAGTCAGACATTGAAATTTGTCCCCAAAGAATGTTTCTACCCTTTTCAACAGGAATATGCTTCTTAAATCATCTCCTTGTTAAAGAAACAGATTAATTTAAATAGAATCACTCTCTTTAATAACTGAAATTGGCCTTTTACTATCTGTTTATTCATCTGTTCGTTCCTTCATCCGTCTTTCTGTGACCATAAGTTGAACAAGCACAATTTATGGAGTTTAATTAAAATGCAAATTCATTTTTGTCTTTATCTTTCACTGGGAGAAGTTTTTTTCCTATGCCTACGTAAAAACCTAGGCAGTCCCATGATTTTTCTGACCGTTCAAGTAATAAAATATTCTATCAGGACCTCCAAGTTGTACAACTCCAGGGGCACAATTTGCATTGTAATCTTTGTAAATGAGCCTTCTGGAGCCCAGCTGCAATAGATTATAATAGGAATGATGCCCCTGGAGTTTAGTAACACGGTCTTGAATCCTAAGGTCACTTTAATATCAAACGCATTGTTTTAATCAGTGTTAGAAATGTTGTGTCTAATGTATTAAAGAATACTTTGTTCTTCATTCAAACTTAAGACTTCTCCTCCACACCCCACCTCCATTCTAGGGCTTGGCTGCAGTCAGGCCAGCAGTCTTCAGGGAAGAGTGTGTTATAAACCTTGCTTAACCCCTCTAGGGTTGGAGAGTGGGGTGGAGGGCAGAGGGCAGAGGTGGGGTCCCTCTGATTGCTTGGCCGTCAGTCCAACTCTCCAGGGGTAGCAGTGCTTTGCCTTCATTTGGTCACTCCCAGTGCCCCTCAGCTTCTGCTTTGCAGCAGTATATCCCAAAGCCGCCTACTCCTAGGTTGTCCTCAACCCTCTCAGACCATCCTCTTGGACAGGATACCTTTTTAAATGACCCCTGGCGTCTATTCCTACCACTAGTTTTCATGTCGTCCCTAAAGTTCCCATCCTTTGACCCACCATTAGAGGAGAGTGC